CCTTTCTAAAATTAACCATTTCATGGAAATCATCATATTTATTGACAAATTACATACGGTATTTTCAAAAAAGTTTTCCTATCCTCTGAGTTAGTGCTTGTATCTTATCTTCCTGCTTTCCTAGTGGCACTGCCAGGTCCACCCTCTTCTTGGGACCCACTGACCATTCTCTCCCACCCTTCTTCTGCCCCCAAGCTTGAGGAAATCTCTTTTTCATTTGCTGGGACAAAGATTCTCTTCACCTCCCAGTTCTGGCCAAGACATTTTTTCTTTACCAGCAAATTTTGTCCTCATTCCAGGGTTCTGGCTTTGGAAATAAAAACAGGGAAAACCCATGGACTATTTCTTCTTTCCTGCTGCATCTTTATCCTGAGGCAATGAACATAGAGCTGACTACCCATCTGAATGGGAAAAGTGAAAGTGAAAAGCAAGGAAAGAAAACCTTCAAAGATTAATGTCTCAAAAATTATTCTATCCATAATTTTTGAGATATTCACAAATTGAGAGAGTTCAAGGACCATTTTATTTCCCATTCCTTGAGGTGGTTGATTTGCCCCACATGTTTCACGGTTTCTGGCGTTTTTGTGCACCAAAGGGAGATCTTTCGCTCGCCCTCCTGCTCTATTACATGACCCAGAGGAAGTGGTTGTTATTTATAGATATATATATTTATAGATATTCTGAAGCTGACTGTAGACCTCTCTTTTCAATGATCAGATGTGTGAATAAAAAACATTTCCCATTTCCTCCCCCAGAATGCATTACTCTCAGAGCTCATTCTGTCTGTGCTCTCATCCATGAGACTTTCTCTCAATAAGACACGCTCACTTGCAATGTGTAACCAGTCCTGGAAGCACTCTTGGTTAAAAGTTAAGCTCTGAAGTTAGACTGTTGGACTTAAGTCCCAGGTCCGTTGCTTAATAGGTGTGGGACTTTAGACAAGTTACTTAATTTTTATCTTAAAAAATGGAGATAGTAGTACCTATCTCATAGGGTTGCTGTGACGAGTAAATAAGTCTATGCATCTTAAGCTTTTATCTCAGCAAGAGCAAGCTCTGGCAAATATTTTCATGGTCTTATTACCACTGTCATCAGTCATCGTCATCATTGTCATTGTCACCACCAGCACCGTCTTAATAACCATCAGCATCATTCCTGAGTGGTAAGAATGGTGACTGGTTTTCTGGTTGATATAATATTTGTATCCCTAAGTGAGAGGCATACAGACTTAGATTACTTCCAGTCTACTTTCAGATCATGTTGATCTGACCCCACCCATGGTTCTGTTATGGAACAACATTACAGAATTCTGGAATATGATTTAATTTGACTCACTACTTTATATGTTTTTGTGCTTTTCCTTTATGTAAATATTTCTTTATATACTTGGAATATTTAAAATAAGGTATTAAACTTAACTCTTATGACATATGAGTATTTAATTAAAAATATCTTTTTGGAAGTTCTGCAATATGTATATACATGCATGTGTGTATGTCTGTGTGTGTATATATATATATATACAGGCTCATACTTTCATACAAATTATTACTTTTAAAAAGGTAAAACAAAAACAACATGAAAATTGGAAACCAAACTGTCATCTCAGAGTTCCTCCTCCTGGGCCTGCCCATTGAACCAGATCAGCGAGACCTGTTCTATGCTCTGTTCCTGGCCATGTATCTTACCACCATCCTTGGGAACCTCCTCATCATTGTCCTCATTCGACTGGACTCTCACCTCCACACGCCCATGTATTTGTTTCTCAGCAATTTGTCTTTCTCTGACCTCTGCTTCTCCTCTGTCACAATGCCCAAATTGCTGCAGAACATGCAGAAGGAACACCCATCCATCCCCTATGCAGGATGCCTGACCCAAATGTACTTCTTCCTGCTTTTTGCAGACCTAGAGAGCTTCCTCCTTGTGGCCATGGCCTATGACCGCTATGTGGCCATCTGCTTCCCCCTGCACTACACCACCACCATGAGCCCCAAGCTGTGTCTGTCCCTGGTGGTGCTGTCCTGGGTGCTGACCATATTCATCTCTTTGTTGCACACCTTGCTGATGGCTCGACTGTCTTTCTGTGCTGATAATGTGATCCCCCACTTTTTCTGTGACATGTCAGCTCTGCTAAAGTTGGCCTGCTCTGACATTCAGATAAATGAAATGGTGATTTTTCTCTTGGGTGGGCTTGTCATTATTGTTCCATTTCTGTTGATCTTTTTATCCTATGCACAAATAGTGTCCTCCATCCTTAAGGTCCCTTCTGCCAGGGGTATCCGCAAGGCCTTCTCCACCTGTGGCTCCCACCTCTCTGTGGTGTCTCTCTTTTATGGGACAATCATTGGCCTCTACTTGTGCCCTTCAGCTAACTATTCTACTGTTAAGGAGACTCTCATGGCTGTGATGTACACTGTGGTGACTCCCATGCTGAACCCCTTTATTCACAGTCTGAGGAATCAAGACATAAAGGGAGCCCTGGGAAGAGCCTTTTCAAAGCAGACAATTCATTTTTCTCTGGGACAGTGACTTTAAAGATTAAAGTATGTTTTCAGATAGTAGGTGTAATACTGACAATAAATAGCATTCTGAATAGTCTAGGAGCACTCAAGCTTGGCACTGCTAATGCAGCCCCCACAGCACTTCCAAGGGGTGTTTTCCCAAATATAGTTAGATGAGGGTCCATTGTGCCTCTTGGGTTTACCACTGTGTCTTGGGTGTGATGTAGCACAAGGGCTGACATGTAGTGGACACTCGATGACTGTTAGTTCGATTTTGAATAAATACGACTGTAACCTTGGTGTTTACTGCACTCAAAGAATGTATAATAGTTCCTAATTCTCTAGAAGATAAATCGAAATTCCTCAGCCACTTCAGTGCTTTGCTTTTGCCAAACATATCTGTTCCATGAAGAATATCTTCCAATTTATTATGTGGTTGCTATTGTAATAGTTTACTCTCCAGAATCATCATGTCTCCCCTTGCTAGCCCATTCAGTTCTTCATTTTATTTTCAGTTGTTGATTGAGTCACCCTTTTAATGACCACATTCTAAAATTATCTCTTTCCCTTTAATTGTACCAATCATTTATCTGTTAATGGCAAATTACTTCTTTTGATAATGTCTATATTTTGGATGAGAATTCCTCTTTTGAATTAAAATCATATGATATGGAATGGACCGTAGAATTCTGTTATGAATTTCTTAATTTATACACAGTAAAACGGTGGCCCATCTAGAGCCAAAGGTAACACAAATAGTGATAGAAGGACTAGAATCTATTTATGATCCCTGGGTAGAGTTTTTCCGCTGGAATATTATGCTGAAATTACTTGATGCTTTTTTTGTTTACTTCTTTTCTTATCACGTATATTGCAAGTGTCTTGAAGACAGGTGCCTTGTGCCTTCTAATCCCTGCAATGCCTCATTCAGTGCCTTGTATCTGTTAGACAAAGAATAAATATTTATTGATTTGATTTGAATGTATTTTGGTGTGTTTCTTGAAATGAATTTATGTCTTAAAACTCTCACCTTTTAAAAGAAGTCTTCCTAATAATGCCAGCTTTTATTTCATTTCTTCTTGAGAAAATTGTATTGATTATGAAAATAATGCATTCTCACCAGGAAATATCCAAACAGCAAAGAAATAAATAATAGAGTGGAATGTGTGGATCTCCCATTGTTCTGCACTTCCTTCCATAATGGCAGTTAAAAGTTGGGGAGTACTCTTCTAAATATTGTCAATGCACAGACTAACTTTATATACAACAGATCAATAGGACTAGCTGCCATTTTCTCACTGTTGTTACTTGAAATATATTCTGAATTCATCATTTCATATAAAGACATGTAACTATTTTAGAAGCACTATAGTGTTTTGTTGAACAGGTGCATTTACCATAATTTATTTAAGCAATTTATTCTTGATGGACATTTGGGTTGTTTTCAGTTTTTTATTATTTTGAGCAATGCTTCAGTTTTATTTCCTGGTTCATATGTGTTTTGTGTGTGTGTGTGTGTGGACTTATGCTGTGTTACTATGGACACATTCTTAGAAATGAGTGTACTCAAGCAAAGGATGTGAATTTTTATAATTGGATAGAAACCACCTCCAAAGAGTTCTTCTAAGGTAGACACCCTTCAGAATTAAATGAGAGCAGTTATTTCTTTACAATGTTTCCCAAACTGGATATTTTGCTTTCAAAATATTTATCAACCTTATGTCCCAAACTATGAGGTTTTTCTATTTTTAAATTGAATTTCTGTGTATGTCAGTGACGTCAAACACTTCTTTATACTGATGAGCTTTTGATGTGTTATTTGTGCATATTCTTTGCTTTGAGTCGCGTTTTTCCCTATGAATAGCATTGCTTTATCTGTCTTGTAGGTTGCATTTCCCTCAGTTATTCATCTTTTGATGTTGATATGGTGTATTTTCCCCTCGCTGAAGATTGTGAATTTCAAAGTAGACAAATCACTTGATCTTTATTTCGGATATACTTTTTTTCTTTGACATGCTTGGAGAGGGCTCTTCTATCCTGAAATTGTGTTATCCCATTTTTATCCCTAGTTCCTATAAACTTGTAGTTTCTGCATCTCTATCCTTGATCCACCTTCAGATCTATCTTGTTATATCCCAATAAAAACGTTGTTGGGAAATTAACTGAAGTTATGTTGAATTATTACATTGATTTATGAGGGAGAGTTGGCTATTTATAAAGTTGTTTTATAAACTCCAAAATTTAAAAGTAGACTCTATTTCAAACATCCAGACAATACAGAGACGAATTTCGCTTATTGCTCTGTACCTATCCCTGTGAATAGACAGACACCTTGTCACGTTTGCTTCAGGTCTAATTTTTAATTTAACAAGAAATTAAGACACTGTAGGACTAAAAATTGCTAGTGCCTTGGAAAGCTAAAACAAAACGGGGGCAAGGGTAGAGGGTAGCTCTCTTGTAGTCATTATTGTTGAAACGCCAGTGAATCCAGACCTGCCCTCACACCTCTTGGGGTGCAGCTCTCCATCGGAGCCCCCTTTTTAGGGCGTCCTTGACTTCTTTGTTGCGAAGGCTGTAGATGAAAGGGTTCAGGGTCGGTGTGACTACTGCATAGACCACGCTAGCCAGGCGGTCGTAGCGGGCAGAGTAGGCAGACGACGGCCGGAAATAGACCGAGAGGACCGAGCTGAAGAAAAGCGACACCACCACCAGGTGGGCCCCGCAGGTGGAGAAGGCGCGGCGCCGCCCCTCGGCAGACCGCACTGCCAGCACCGCGACGAGGATGCCCACGTAGGACAGGGACACCAGGAGCAGCGGGGTCAGCACCACGGCCAGGCCCTCGGAGAAGACGGCTGTCTCCACGGCAGACGTGTCCGAGGTCGCCAGGCTCAGCAACACCGTCATGTCACAGAAGAAGTGGCGCACGGGGGCGGATCGCGGGTAGGAGAGCTCGGACATGAGCAGCGTGTGCAGCAGCGAGTGCAGGTGGGCCACCGCCCAGGACGCCCGCACCAGCGCTGCGGACCGCCAGGGCGTCATGACCGCGCCGTAGTGCAGGGGGCGGCAGACGGCCACTGCGCGGTCGTAGGACATGGCGGCCAGCAGGTAGCTCTCGCTGATGCCGAAAGCCCCGAAGAAGTACATCTGGGCAAGGCACCCCTGGAAGGACACGGCCTGGCCCGGGTGGAGCAGGCCGGCCAGCAGTCTGGGGACCGTGACGGTGGTAAAGCAGAGGTCCACGAGGCTCAGGTGGCCCAAGAAGTAATACATGGGGGAGCGGAGAGCCCCGTCAGACCTTACCACCACCACCATGCTCAGGTTGCCCAGGGCATTGACCAGGTAGACACCAAGGAAGATCAGGAACAACAAAGGGTGGATGTCTGTCCCATCCATCAGGCCCAGGAGGAGGAACTCTGGGGCAGAGGTGCGGTTGGCCAGGGCCATGGGGTGCCCGCACAGGTGGGGGTGCTGAGGGGAGAGAGGAGGCAGTGGGCCTAAATTCTGGCACCTCTAGGTAGACTTCTGCATGTTGAGGTTCCATGTAATAGTTTAAAACTGCTGCTTGCTAAAATGGCTTAAAAACCGGGTTTATGAAAAAACTGAATTTCAGAAGGGTGTTCTAGGGTAGTGGGCCTCAAGCTTTGGAGTAGATCAGACCTGATTTTGAGTCCTGGCTCTATCATTCAAGTGGTGTGACCTCTCTGACCCTCAGTTTCTTCTTCTTCTTTAAGTGAGGAACATACTAGTTGCTACCCCTACAGTTGTGAGGATGGAGCAGATAATAAATCCAAAGCTCTTGGCACAGTGACCAGCACATATAAGCACTCAAACTGTCATTTAGCTAACTATCTTCATCTTCAACATCATCATCATTTGCTTAGTCAGCCAGCAGTTGGGGCAGAATTGGGACCCAGGCCATCTGAATACCAGTCGAAGGTTTTTCACAAGACACTTTTACCGCATTTGCCATTCATTTATTCAGCACGTATTATGCAGTAGCTCAGAGGGCTATAGTTTTTTAAGTATGCTTTTCTTAATCTCCGCTGAAACCTGCTTCCTCCTAACTTCCACAAGTGGCCCCAGTTTTGGCCTCTGGAGGCTACACATCAAATCTGCTTTCTCTGCAGTTTTTCACATAGTGTTTGAAGAAATCTATTCTAGGTCTACTAAGTCTTCTTTTCTCCAACCCAAACACCCCCTGGTGCTTTAGATTCTTTCTTATAGGACCCATTTTCAAGGTCCTTTCCCATTCTGGTCACCTGTGCTTTGTTTTTCTTAATAGGAATAGGACACAGTGCTCTAGCTGCGGTTGGGCTGCGTGGAGTTCCTGGGGGGCAGTAAACAGCTCAACAGTACACTTCATACCTATTTATCGAGTGTCTGCTTTGGGTCAGGTGTTGTGTTTCTCTCTAGGACTATAAAGGTAGGTCAGCCATTGTCCCTAACCTCCAGCCATGCCAATGTAATAAGCAGTTCACTAAATGTGAACAAAGTAGGAGTGATTTTTTCTGCTTGGCTGATTCAGGGAAGATTCCAAAGAAGAGGGGGTTTGAACTAGGGTTAGAAGAATGGGTAGGAGATCACCAGACAGAGACTTGGGAGTGAGAAGGGAATTTCAGGCAGTGCAGGAGAGCCAAAATGGGGCTGCTTCTCCCTTACTGCTATAAGACAGAGTAAAGTGGGGTGGGAAGGAAAATAGAACAAAAGGATTCTCACCTGAAGGGCAGCATGCCAGGCCTCAACACTGTGTGCTGGGTCTGTGGGCTGGTCTCCCTCCTGGTCAGAGGTCCCCGGTCTTTAGGACAGATGCAGCATGATCCCTCTCTGCCCCAAAACTTCAGCGCATTTCGTGTGGGCTTGGACAGCAGCCTTTGAGAGAGAGAAAGCCAGCACTGTAAAGGCCCTGGAATTCCTGATCATGCTGTTTCCACTCAGCCCTGCTGCCTTGTCAGTCTCCCCATTGCCCACTGGATACAGTGTGAACTGCTCAGCCTGGCATCCAGAGCTTTCCAGCTTGGTTCCCAGCATTCTTCTCCAGCCTCGGCTCGCTGCTTCCACATGCTTCCCTTCCCAGACCCCAGCCAGGTTGGCCTTGTCACTATCCCTTGCTTAAACCTTTCTCCCATGCCTTTCCTGCTTACTGCTCCCTACCTGAAGTGCTCTTCCTACCGCATCCGAGTACCCAACTCTGGCTCCACCTCCCCCAGGAAGCCCCACCTCCTTTCTTGACTTTTCCAGCACACACGAATGCCTCTCTCTATCTCTCATAGCCCTCATTTGGAACTCAGCCCTCATCTGCTGGTATTAAAGTGACTTTTGCTGCGGTGATGTTCATTTTCCCCACTAGATGACAAGCCTTCTGAGGGCAAATATTTAGTTGTCTGTTCCCATCTGGCTTTAGGCCTGGCACAGGGCTTTATTTTAAGTCTCCTGGCAGTCAGGGAAGGCTCCAAAGAGGAGGTGGCATTTGAGCAGGGCCAGATTGAAGGACAAGGCATTCACTGGACAGACAAGAGTGGAAGAAAATTCTGGAGAGAGGGAATAACACGTATAAAGGAAATTACAAAGGAAACAGCAGAGAAGTTATGTAATCTCTTCACTTAGAAAATAGTAGGTGCTTAATAAATGTCAATTTCCTCCCCTACCCAGCCCCTAAACACTTTTGGTGATGGGAGATGTATTGACCGAGCTTCAGTTGGCTCCCCATGAGATACCTGGCACAGGGCTTGTTTCCCTGGATGCTGAGTGGCTGTTGTCAACCTAGAGCCTTTTCCTGAGGTCCGGGCATGGCAGTGTCTGCTTTGAAATGGATAGGAGAAATTCACTTAAGGTCATCAAATGAGGCAGAGATACTTAGGATCTAGGATCAGAAACCCATTTCTTAGGCAGCTTGCAGCCCTAAATCTTATATGAAGAAGGTCACCTTTGTAGGAAACACTTAGATGCACCAAGACGCAGAGGCACACGGGGATACAAGCCTACCCACTGACACAGACACAGCCTGATAAATCCAGACACACACACATGCCAGAGATACACTCACACCCACTAGGATGGGAATATGCATATATAGGCACATGTAGACACCTGCTTACAGTCATTTACACCCAAGATAGACACATACACAGATTCACTCACAGGTCCACCCATATACATACACGCCACATAACACATGAAGACCCAGACACAGACCCACCCCCACACACAAAAATGCCAGAGGCACAGAGACCTCCACGGAACCTCCGAGGCACTTGAGACCCACGAAGGAGTCTGTACATAAAACCAACAAGTCCCTCCTTCCTGTCTGTTGCCTCAGGTCTCCACCTGCCATAACAGAGTGGCGAGTGGACGGTGGCCCCCAGCACTCTGAGTTCTGGGAGTTTCTATCCAATTCCTTGACCCCAATCTCTTGCTGGTCAGCCCGGATTCTTCTCTCCATGGTGTCCCAAATAACTTCCTCTGCAACTGCAGTTTTAACCCAAGATGAGCCCTTTCTTCTTTTGTGTGTGTGTGTGTGTGTGGAGATATATATATATGTTTTTATTGAAGTATAGTCAGTTTACAATGTTTTGTCAATTTCTGGTGTACAGCATAATGCTTCAGTTATATAGGAACACACATATATTCATTTTCATACTCTTTTTCACCATAAGTTACTACAAGATATTGAATATAGTTCTCTGTGCTATACAGTACGAATTTGTTGTTTATCTGTTTTATGTATAGTAGTTAGTATCTGCAAATCTCGAACTCCCAGTTTATCCCTTCCCACCCTCTTCCCACCTTCAGTAACCATAAGTTTGTTTTTCTATGTCTGTGGGTCTGTTTCTGTCTTATAAATAAGTTCGTTTGTCTTTTTTTAAGATTCCACATATAAGTGATATCACATGGTATTTTCCTTTCTCTTTCCGGCTTACTTCACTTAGAATGGCAATCTCCATTTCCATCCATGTTGCTGTAAATGGTATTATTTCATTATTTTTTATGGCCGAGTAGTATTCCATTGTATAAAGATACCACAACTTCTTCATCAAGTCACAGGATGAGCCCTTTTAATTGAAGGGCTTCCTCCCCTCCTCTGCTTTCCTTTGCTAACTTCTCTTTCATTTTTCTTAAGTAATGATCTTACCTGCTGTACCTGCCCTATGTCAGGCAGGTACTCAAGCACCAGGGACACATTGGCTGTTACTTCTCATTTCCCTCACTCAGATACTTGATTTTCTCACTTTTCTTTCCCACCCTTGATTATGCCATTCCCTCCCAGCAAGTCTCCTGCCTGACCACTTACCTGTGAGCATAAACAGGCTCTGCCCTCTGCACGACATACCAGAGGCTGATATGCTTCTAGCAAGGGAGTTAAAGCAGGTATGACCCTGAGAGGAAGGTTTACCTCAATAGCCAAAGACGGGAGGAATGGAATTAGGCCTGGGAGCAGAGGGATCACCCACTAATTAATTATCCAGGAAACTCCATGGAGAGCTACAGTGACCTCTGCACCCACTGGCCTTGTGAGGACCACTCCATTACCCTGCTAGAGAGACTGGGAGAAAGGGAATGGAGGAGTCTGGGAGTCTAGAATTGAGGTAGACACTCCTCTGCGTGGTGGCACTTGTGCTGGCCCTGTGTGCTCAGAGGATGCTATCTCTCCCCTTCCTGCTTCTAAGACCCCAGAGAAAAAATCCAGGGTCAAAGAGGTGAACATTTCTGTGACAGCAAATGTGGAGAAGAAGTTCATCAAGCAAGCTTTTTACTAATTACACAGCCATCAGCAATGGCTGGATGTGCCTTCTCCCCACTGTGAAGTGCTATTATGACTTTAAGTATTAATTTTTCTTTTCTTGTTTTTTTGCTTCTTTGGAAAATAGAAAATTATTTTTATTTCCTTTGACTGTTAAGTACATTTCTCTACAATCACAAGCAGTGTAGCTGTGCTCATGGCTTTACCTGCCTGTTTCCAGCACAGAGCAGCCAACTCTAAATCAGGGTCTTGGCCTGTGTTGGGTTTTGCACCTGAAAAGCAATAAGCTATAAAACCATTTAATATAAGTCCTGTATGTATATTAGCATAGTTATAATTCTCAGAAAAATGAATAAACATAAAATGATTATCATCAAGTTTTGCATTGATTTGAGTTGATTTGTGGAGTAATTTCTAAATATGTACTATGTTAAAATTAGAATGATTAAATAACGTCGCATGTCCATTGCATGAACACAAAAAGAAATATATATAATATTTTAAATTTTTATAATTTAATAATGTATTTATTACTAATACAAATTTTTTATTTTAAGATTTTATATAATATTTATATTATTATAACAATAATACAAATATACCTGTATATACCTATTTTATATTTCTATGTTATAAAAATAAATAAAAATTTTTAATATTTCCTTCCAAAGTACCAAAGTGAAAAATTACACTCTAAGCACAATTA